GAAAGAAAGAGGTAGCTTCCCATCTCTCTCTCTCTGCAGATACAATGACACCAACACCCCAACTTCCACACCCTTCCAACCACCATACTCCACCTCCTTCTCACCATTTCAAAAATGGGGTTTGGGTAATTCGTATAAAACCAGCAACAAGACCTAGATTGGGAAGTAGAGTGAGACCCCTTTCAGGCTTAAGGTATTGGGTTTCCAAGGAAATTAAGGAAACACCAATATTGTCAAAATGATGCAGTCTGGGATTCCTCTATGCAACACCTGTGGTGAACAAGTGGGGCTTGATGCCAATGGGGAGGTTTTTGTGGCTTGCCATGAATGTAATTTCCCTGTTTGCAAGACTTGTTTTGATTTGGATATCAAGGAGGGGCGTAAAGCTTGCTTGCGGTGTGGCACTCCCTATTATGATGGTATACTTGGATTTCTCTGATCTATGTCTATATTTTCAGATGCTTTAGTATATGTGTTTTACTTGGATTTTTCCAATATGATGCTTTTACTTTTTGAGGCTCACAATTTAGTTTACCACCATTAGTGCATAGTGGCAACACCCTGTGACAATCATATGTATAATTGGAAATTATATACCTGTAAGTTATAGAAATAGTTTGGTTGATGACATCATAACAACTTTTTAGGATAGTGATTAAGTTCACATGCACTTGACGGGGGATCAAAATCAGACCTTTTCTTTCTCTTATGCTGATTTGGGCAAGTTAATCTTGTGCAAGGTATGCGAGGTTTGGTTCCCCTAAGTGCTATTTGGATTTAGAAATTATGCAAGGAGAGTATAAAACCAAACTACGCATAAAGTTGGAGAAGTTCTGAAATTATGCCTTTTTAACTTTTAAGCAGTTAAAATAGTTTTTGGAAGGAGATTGAAAAATGGGTTCATTTGGTCTTGATTGATATGTATCTTTTTTACAGCTTGTTACGTACTAAAATTGGTAGCTTTCATGATTTCTAAGCTATATAATGGTTTGTAAAATTCTTCAGAGAACTCACTGGCAGATGATGAAACAAAGGTTTCAGGCACTCGATCCACAATGGCAGCTCACCTGGATAATTCTCAGGTATGAAACAAAGGTTTCTGCAATTCTGTAATTTATAGGTACTTTAAGTAGAATGAGATAGTATTTTGTTTATACTTAAGAATATTAGATTTCTTACAGCTTGCTAATTTTTATATTTGTTTAAGCAGGAGATCGGAATTCATGCTAGGCACGTCAGCAATGTGTCTGCAGTGGATAGTGGTAAGTCATATTTCTTTTTCTTGCATGATTTAGTCCCCTTGTCTCATTTTTTTGATAATTATCTTATTTTGTTATCTTTGAAGAATTAAATGATGAATATGGGAATCCAATTTGGAAGAATAGAGTAGAGAGTTGGAAGGATAAAAAGGATAAAAAGAGCAAGAAGAAAAAGGGTGCACCTAAGGAGGAAAAAGTGGCTCAAATTCCACCTGAGCAGCAGATGACAGAGAACCAGTAAGTACAATTAAAACTTGGGTGATTTATATAAGATGCTATACAAGAAAGAAGATAAAGCCCTTTCAAAAATAAAAGGGCATTGCAGTGCTAGTTTTCTGATGTAGGGTCTGTTTTTAGATTCTTTTCCAAAATTTCTCTATCTCATTCAAACATTCATGTGTTCATGAAAGGAAACATTTATGTGTTTAGGCTTAGATGAGATGGAATTTCTACATACACTGTTATTTCGGGTTGGGATGATGTTCTATTTCCATTATAGTTATCCTGCCATTCCAAATGTTGGATACAAGAAAAGAGAGGAGCATTCATTCTATAGGCTTGTCTATGAGTTATGTTGAGATGTAAAAATCCCACATGGGGTAATCCAAGCTTACATCTCAAAATATAAATCATCTGCCTTTCCATCCATTACCTATAGGTTCTTTGTTTTGGGTTTGGATGCTAACTTTAGCAAGTTAGATCTATGATTTATCAGTTATATTCCATGCTTGGGGATAGAGAGACACAATCAGGTTTTACACAGGACATTCTGTTTCATATCTTTTATATCAGTATCGTGAAAATGGTTCATATACACAGTTAATGAAATGATTATATCAATGTTTTGGGAAGTTTCAGAGTCTAATTTTCTAAAGAAAGGAAAAGAACCAATACGATGCATGTACGAATTTGGATGTGTTCAAATCAGATTCATATGTAGCATTTGATGCTTTTTCTTGTGTGTTATTTGACTTATGGCCTTCTTTGCAGTTCACCAGACGCTGCGGAACCACTTTCAACTATCATTCCACTTCCACCTAACAAAATCACACCATACAGAGTTGTAATAATTATGCGGTTGATCATTCTTGCCCTTTTCTTCCATTATCGAGTGACAAATCCTGTTGACAGTGCTTATGGTCTCTGGCTCACTTCTATCATATGTGAGATCTGGTTCGCTTTTTCTTGGGTGTTGGATCAGTTTCCCAAGTGGTATCCAGTTAATAGGACTACATTTACTGACAGGTTATCTGCCAGGTATATATTTATAGCTGGATTTCTTATGCTTCAACCTGGTCCAACATTAGTCAGTTGATGTTTCAAACCTTCATATAATTACATGTCATGATTAGTGAGTAAACACAGGGTTTTCTGAGACCTTATAACCCGAAGAATATGAAAGGAAAGTACAAATGAATAGTATATGTTTTTAAAAACTGTTAATTTCTGAATTGGATTCTGAACATCATTTTAAATGTTCCTTTTGGATGTTATGTGAAATGGTTGTATAAACTTCCATGCCAGGTATGAAAGAGAGGGTGAACCCTCCGAGCTCGCTGCTGTGGATTTCTTTGTGAGTACAGTTGATCCATTGAAAGAACCACCTCTGATCACTGCCAATACTGTGCTTTCTATCCTTGCTGTAGACTACCCTGTCGATAAAGTTTCTTGCTATGTGTCTGACGATGGTGCTGCAATGCTTACTTTCGAATCTCTTGCCGAAACATCTGAATTTGCAAGAAAGTGGGTTCCATTCTGCAAGAATTTTTCGATTGAACCACGTGCACCTGAGTTTTACTTCTCACAAAAGATTGACTACTTGAAGGACAAAGTGCAACCATCTTTTGTGAAGGAACGCAGAGCAATGAAAGTAAGTACCTAAAGGTTGAAGCTTCCTTTAGTTGCAGCTGAATACTCATGATATTATGATAGCTGAAAGCTTTCATTAATAATCACTTCATGAACTTTTACAGAGAGATTATGAAGAGTTCAAAGTGCGAATGAATGCTTTAGTAGCAAAGGCTCAAAAAACACCAGAAGACGGATGGACTATGCAAGATGGAACAGCTTGGCCAGGAAATAACTCACGTGACCATCCTGGCATGATCCAGGTAGACAGCCTATGGTTTGTTGAGTTCAACTTCTGAAATTTTTCCATTTTGAAAATGTCATACTTCTCTAAGGGGTTCAATATTTGTCGGTGCTCAAAACAAAAGTCTGGACAAGGTTCACTTGAGATATATTTAGATACCTGTAATACATAAACACTCTGTTCATGTGGGCCAACCAAGATTTTGAAAAGCGTTTTGCTTTTGCATCTGGAGTGATACTCTTTTTTAAGTGCCTTGGTGAATACTGTTTTTTCATCAACTATCAGTCCATGCTCCTTGTTGTGTCTCTTTATAAAGAGATTTTCAGCGCTTCATCATATTGTAAATAATTGATTTTGACGTATAACTCCTCTTTTTCACCCTCCTCAGGTTTTCCTTGGACATAGTGGTGCCTATGATATTGAGGGAAATGAACTCCCTCGATTGGTTTATGTGTCTAGAGAGAAGAGACCCGGCTACCCACACCACAAGAAAGCTGGTGCTGAAAATGCTCTGGTATATATACATACTTTAAGAATGATAATATCCATGTGAGCACTATAAAGTTTCACTCAAACTTGAATGATTGGCTTGATACAGGTAAGGGTGTCTGCAGTTCTCACAAATGCTCCATACATCCTCAACCTTGACTGCGATCACTATGTTAACAACAGCCAGGCAATTCGTGAGGCAATGTGTTTCTTGATGGATCCGCAAGTTGGTCGAGAAGTATGCTTTGTGCAGTTTCCTCAGAGATTTGATGGCATTGATCGCAGTGACCGATATGCCAACCGCAATACGGTTTTCTTTGATGTGAGTTCAAAGCTATCATACATATCCACACATTTTAATAGTAACCTTGAATGTCCTTGTATAGGTAAACTGTTACAAGGGAATGCAAGACTTGGAACATTCAAGCTTTTTTAAA